TAAAATACGCAGCAATATTTGGAAACAAAAAATTGTTTGTTATAATAAGACAAACCCATCCACCTTTTACATTAAAGCATCCCCAATGTAATCCAACACATCAGAATATTTTGACAGACTTTCAGAGATGTTAACCCATTGTTCTTGCCCAGTATCGTGAACGTGCAAATACACAAAGAGATGTAATATCTGAAAATGTCTTAAATCTGAATAATAAAAGCATAGTTTTTCCCTTGTGACTTCTGTCTTGTCTTCTAAGTTATAATTTCATGTTGAACACTTTCAAAAACTTATGTAAATTCAACTATCCTAAACTATTAAATAAGTAGTAATGTTAACTTTGTTAACACAAGGTTATAAATTCAAAAATGCTTCATATCATAGATTAAATTTTTAAAATGCTCCATACTTATACTGCTACTGAACGCGTATCCACATTTCACACATTATGATACATGTAGAATAATCTTCAACAAATAAAGTGTTAATTAAATTTATATATCGGATGGAAATTAGGTATACATTTTTTATTTCTAATGCTGCAGATTTCCACAATGCATGTAGCCAGCGCAGACGACGACTACTACTCTTTCTGTCACGTAATCGTTTGGCTCTCTACACCACCTTGACTTCAAAGCCAGGTTGAAACAATCATTTGCAAGACACATTTGAACGAACACACCATTGGCAATGCATTCTTGATCATATTTATGGTATAAAATGGAAAATGTTGTCCAGTTTACAAAATCTATCACTGTATAGGCCTGATGTGGAAAATTATGTTGGATCTTTACTGAGAAATGGTAATGCCCCTGTCGCGTACTTTTTTCGGGAAAACATCAGCAAAAGTATACTTAATGGGATGTTGGTCATATTTTGGACGAGAAAGACAACAAAGTTTTATTTTTCGTCCAAAGTCATAAATTGTAGAAATACTTAGTATTCAAATAACTGTCTGAAGAAGGTCGCGGTCAGTGTCGTGATAGGGAGTCATACGTCAGTCAATCTGTAAAGTAGTGGTAGTCGCCAAAATTTCATATAGATTCTGCGTCCAAAATATTATCAACTTAATCTAATACTTGTCGCGCAAGCACTATACAAAATGAATTGTAACATAATCCATTCGTTTACATATCGCATTAGGTGAAATAATTTTGTCAACATTTGTGCTAAAATGAATAGGTATAGTAATGGAAAGTTTGATGTACTGGTCTTATGGAAATTAAACTTTAAAAACACTCAAAATAAAGGATCTGCGGTTTTCAAACGTGGAAAGTGCAATAAATTTAATGCGTTCTTGCACAAGTGCTATCAGCGGTCAATACACTCGACCATAAAGTTCATGTAAACATCATTATTTTGAAGAATTGGACGAGGGTCAAAATCTCCTATGCAAAACGTTGGTTTTGGTTTTTGATAAAAAACGACCAAATTTGGAAAAGAATATTTTCTGCGGGACCAAATAGGCCAAAAATTAAGATTTTCCTGGTGCCATATCAACAGGCCTTTTTGAGCTAAAAAAACTTTTTTTTCGGAAATTTGGGGCAAGGGTTTATTGCTGGAAGAAAAAAGGAAAGGAAATTTATTTTTGAGCCATGGTCACCCAAATCTGATTCGTGAAGACAATTGCTTCTTTGCTACGTCAAGTTACATAGATTATTTAATGCCTTGAAGCATTATCTTGAGATCTACTCAAGCAAAGCGCGTCCAAAATCGGAAAAGTAGACATTTAAAGCTGTATTAAATTTCAAATATTCGAAGATCAGGGCGTCAAATTAGTCGCAGCAAATACCGATGTGCTCCTGAAATTCTGCTTCTTGGTTTAAGCCGTACTGGCGCAGACAACGCGGACACAGCAGCTCTGTAGTATGGATATCAGCTCCGTCTTCGAACAACCCGTTTGGCACGTCGGAACCGGTCACGTGTGCATCTGTGTCGTCATGCCCTTCCTCGGTGTCTCCGTCGGCCTCGAGGTCGCCCAGTCCGTCGACGACAGTTCTGCCTCCAAAATGCCTGTATTCGGCTCCGCAGGTAAGCTGTGTAGGGAAAAAAGAACAGCCCGCTTATAATCTCATTTCACAACGCGAATGTAATGAAGGGGGGCTGAGCGCCCCCTTCTCAATCCAAAATGTAAATAAATAAATAAACGAGAAAAAAATACGAAAGAATAGTTAAGTGACACAAAACCTAGCAATTTTAATTGTGCGCTCCATAAGATAGCAAAATCAGCGAGAGAGAGAGAGAGAGAGATGGAGAAAACGAAAATTGCACTCACGTTCGGTCGATAAGATGTCCTATATGGTGAGTCATAGTAACCTCTCTTATTTTGCGCCATCTGTAAGAGAGTTATCAACATTAGTATCTTTAGTTACTTAAATATAGTGACATTGGAATATACCAATAAATTGTGCCTTAGCCTCCATCAACAAAACTAAGAAAGCAATTATGTGACGGCGCATTTTCGCGAATAAAGTCACCGCACGTACTAACGAAAGCAAAGAGAAAATAGTCTGATAGATCGGGAGATTTTGTCTGAATCGGGAGACTCCCACCTAGATCTGGAGTGTTGACAGGTCTGGCAATATTTTATGATATTGGACTACTTCTGCTTTATCTTAGATCAAAGTAGACTTAGGCTTTGGTCTTCAAGATTAGACCGATTTTGGGGCTAAATAACTTTGTGAAACTTGTGCTAGATGAACTCAAGTAGTCGAACTAGAACGAAAGCTTCCCCTCAGGCAAACTAAATATTATTCCTTGTATTTCATCGTGTTAATCCCCCCCCCCTTTATACTGGACGGCGTTCTTTCTGCGTCCCTCAGTACGGCTCTGGTTGAGAGTAAAAAAAAAACAATACTTTACGTGCAGAAAACTGGCCAATCATTGAGCATTCATTTTGCAACCAAGTTAATGCTTGTGCCCCCTTTTTACGACCACAGCGATGCCAGTTTCATGGTCGCACAAAGGACGCAGAATGGACGCCGTCCAGTGTAAAGGGGGTTTTAATGCATTTATGGGACTACATGTATGTACCTGTATTCGGAGACACTGCAGCTCTCTCTCAAGATCAGATATCTTCGACTGAGCTAACTCCCTGTCTCTCCGTTCTGCCTCGAAATCCTCGGTCACCGTTCGAACCTGTTCTTGCAGGAGCTGGACATACTCATCCTCGTATCCTCCTCTTCCTCGTCCTCCTTTCGCGATCTCTGCCTCGAGTTGACGCACGCGCTCTTCCAACTGACGTCTTATTTCGTCGTTTTGGTGAGTTTGGATTCTGAGCTGGCGGTTTTCGTCCTCCAACTGGAAACAACGGAGAACAGACAAGGCATAATCAGGCCCGTAGCCAGCAATTTCAAAAGNGAGGTCCAGCATGCAGTAAATGAAGAAAGGAACCGCAGATCGCAATATCGAATGGTTGAGTATTTTTCCCTTCTTATATATTAAGTTTAGTTACAACTTCCTGCTTGTTGCATCCATACATCAAGAAAATAATTGGATAATATAGATATCTGCACGTCCACGATACTGGATAACAACAGGATTGGGTCATAACGCCTGTGATTATACGCTCAGATGACTGGATTCCTTACACCTTGTTGTTTTATGGAAAGCATAGTGTATTTCAGGTATTTAAACCCAGAAATCGAACGATATGTTCAGTTCACGTGTATGGGAGATCATACTTTGTACTGATATTGAAAGTGGAAACAATGATAACGCACAATAACCCGTTTTCTTCACCCATCTAAACTTGCGACGAAGAAAAAAAATGTATTTCTCTAATGTGTTTGCCGTAAATGATCCATGAGATGACCAAAGACATGACGATAGTATTCTGAGCGCTGTCTTTTCCATAATGTACATGCACCGCTGGAAAACAGACTGGAAAGTCTGTGTCCCACATTTAAACGCTGTTTGAGTGTCACTTTCGGCTAAGAATTAATAAGTTTAAAGGTATAATAACTCTTCGTTTTGGCCAAAAAATTAATTTTCCTGGAGCAAACAACAATTTTCCCGTACTTACCAATGGTTAATGAATCAATTTTTACATTCAAAGTTAGTCCCTGGTTTTTTTTCTAAAAAGTTTGGTTTTTTGTTAAAATCTCTTAAGAGATTATAACTGAGTATAGCCATGAATAGAGGTCACGTGATCTGAAGACAAGCTCAGATATCAGAATAATAGCTATAACTGCTGTTTTTGTGGTAAAACAGAATATATTATATTTCTACGAGTTGTTTTTATTGTGAGATATAGATATCATACAAAGAGTTATTATCCCTTTAAAATACGCAGCAATGATTGGAAACAAAAAATTGGTTGTTATAATAAGACAAATCCATCAACCTTTTACATGAAAGCACCCCCATTGTAATCCAACACTTAAGAATATTTTGACAGACTTCAAAGATGATAACCCATTGTCGTTATCCAGTATCGTGAACGTGCAGATAAATTAAGACGTAATATCTGAAAATGTCTTAAATCTGAATAATAAAAGCATAGTTTTTTTCCCTTGTGACTTCTGTCTTGTCTTCTAAGTTATAATTTCATGTTGAACACGTTCACAAACTTATGTAAATTCATCTGTCCTAATCTATTAAATATTGTTAATCTATAACTATATAAGTAGCAATGTTAACACAAGGTTATAAATTTAAAAATGCTTCATACTATAGATTAAATTTTTAAAATGCTTCATACTTATACTGCTACTGAACGCGTATCCACATTTCACACATTATATATGTAGAATAATCTTCAACAAATACAGTGTTAATTAAATTTATATATCAGAGAGACTTTTATGTTCTCGTTGAACGTGCTAAAACATTGAATGTGAATTATTTTTCATTTACTTCAAGGAAGAAACTATGGTAAATTTTTTCCATTCTGTTACCAAACATATTTTATCATACATAAAGCCAAAACGACTCAGCGTCTAAATTCAGTATGCGAATCCACCTTTCTTCAAGATGGAAATTAGGTAAACATTTTTATCCTAATGCTGCAGATTTTCACAATGCATGTAGCCAGCGCAGACGACTACTACTCATTCTATCACGTGACCGTTTGGCTCTCTACACCACCTTGACTTCAAAGCGAGGTTGAAACAATCATTTGCAAGACACATTTGAACGAACACACCATTGGCAATGCATTCTTGATCATATGTATGGTATAAAATGGAAAATGTAGTCCTGTTTACAAAACCTATCACTGAATATGCTTGATGTAGAAAATTATGTTGGAACTTAACTGAGAACTGGTATTGCCCTTGTCGCGTACTTTTTTCGGGAAAATATCAGCAAAACTATACTTAATGGGATGTTGGTCATATTTTGGACGGGAAAGAAAACAACGTTTTATTCGTCCGAAGTCATATATTGTAGAAATACTTAGTATTCAAATAACTGTCTGAAGAAGGTCGCGGTCAGTGTCGTGATAGGGAGTCATACGCCAGTCAATCTATAAAGTAGTGGTAGTCGCCAAAATTTCATATAGATTCTGCGTCCAAAATATTATTAACTTAATCTAATACTTGTCGTGCAAGCATTATACAAAATGAATTGTAACATAATCCATTCGTTTACATATCGCATTAGGTGAAATAATTTTGTCAACGTTTGTGTTAAAATGAACAGGTATAGTAATGGAACTGGTCTTATGGAAATTAAACTTTAAAAACACTCAAAATAAAGGATCTGTGGTTTTCAAACGTGGAAAGTGCAATAAATTTAATGCGTTCTTGCTCAACAAGTGCTATCAGCGGTCAATACACTCGACCATAAAGTTCATGTAAACATCATTATTTCGAAGAATTGGACGAGGGTCAAAATCTCCTATGCAAAACGTTGATTTTGGTTTTTGATAAAAAACGACCAAATTTGGAAAAGAATATTTTCTGCGGGACCAAATTGGCCAAAAATCAGGATTTTCCTGGTACCATATCAACAGGCCTTTTTGAGCTAAAAAAAGATTTTTTTTCCGGAAATTCGGGGCCAGGGTTTATTGCTAGAAAAAAGGGAAGGAAATTTATTTTTGAGCCATGGTCACCCAAATTTGATTCGTGAAGACAGAAGCCTTATCTTGAGATCTACTCAAGAAAAGCGCGCCCAAAATCGGTATTAAATTTAAAAATTTCGACGATCAGGGCGTCAAATTAGTCGCAGCAAATACCGATGTGCTCCTGAAATTCTGCTTCTTGGTTTAAGCCGTACTGGCGCAGACAACGCGGACACAGTAGCTCTGTAGTATGGATATCAGCTCCGTCTTCGAACAACCCGTTGGGAACGTCGGAACCGGTCACGTTTGCATCTGTGTCGTCATGCCCTTCCTCGGTGTCTCCGTCGGCCTCGAGGTCGCCCAGTCCGTCGACGACAGTTCTGCCTCCAAAATGCCTGTATTCGGCTCCGCAGGTATGCTGTGTAGGGAAAAAAGAACAGCCCGCTGATAATCTCATTTCACAACGCGAATGTAATGAGGGGGGACAGAGCGCCCCCCTATTCAATCCAAAATGTGAATAAATAAATAAACGAGGAAAAAATAAGAAAGAATAGTTAGGCGACACAAAACCTAGCAATTTTAATTGTGCGCTCCATTAGATAGCAAAATCAGCGAGAGAGAGAGAGAGAGAGAGAGAGAGATGGAGAAAATGAAAATTGCACTCACGTTCGGTCGATAATATGTCCTAAATGGTGAGTCATAGTAACCTTTTCTGTTTTGCGCCATCTGTAAGAGAGTTATCAACATTAGTATCTTTAGTTATATTACTTAAATATAGTAACATCGGAATATACCAATATATTGTGTCTTAGCCTCCATCAACAAAACTAAGAAAGCAATTATGTGACGCCGCATTTTCGCGAATTAAGTCACCGCACGTTCTAACGAAAGCAAAGAGAAAAAAGTCTGATAGATCGGGAGATTTTCAGTCTGAATCAGGAGACTCCCGACGAGATCTGGAGTGTTGAAAGGCCTGGCAATATTTTATTATATTGGACTACTTCTGCTTTATCTTAGGTCAAAGTAGACTTAGGCTTTGATTCTTAAGTTAAGACCGATTTTTGGGCTACATAACTTTGTGAAACTTGCCCTAGATGAACTCAAGTTGTCGAACTAGAACGAAATCTTCCCCTCAGGCAAACTAAATATTATTCCTTGTATTTCATCGTGTTAAGCCCCCCCCCCCCCCCAGGGGCGGATTTAGGCCGTCTTCTGGGTCTTTCGGAAGACGGTCAGATTTTCAAGTTCACATTGACAGGTATCTATTTTTTCTGTCGGAAGACGGTCAAGAACGGAGGATGGATCAACAAAGACAATTTGGAAGACTGTCAGAAAATATATCTGGATCCGCCCCTGCCCCCCCCCCCCCTTTTACACTGGACGGCGTTCTTTCTGCGTCCCTCAGTACGGCTCTGTTTGAGAGTAAAAAAAAAAACAATACTTTACGTGCAGACATGGACCTAACTAGATTATATTTAGGTCCAAGGTGCAGACAACTGGCCAATCATTGAGCATTCATTTTGCAACCAAGTTAATGCTTGTGCCCCCCTTTTTACGACCACAGCGATGCCAGTTTCATGGTCGCACAAAAGACGCAGAATGGAGACCGTCCAGTGTAAAGGGGGTTTGAATGCATTTATGGGACTACATGTATGTACCTGTATTCGGAGACACTGCAGCTCTCTCTCAAGATCAGATATCTTCGACTGGGCTATCTCCCTGTCTCTCCGTTCTGCCTCGAAGTCCTCGGTCACCGTTCGAACCTGTTCTTGCAGGAGCTGGACATACTCATCCTCGTATCCTCCTCTTCCTCGTCCTCCTTTCGCGATCTCTGCCTCGAGATGACGCACGCGCTCTTCCAACTGACGTCTTACTTCTTCGTTTTGGTGAGTTTGAATTCTGAGCTGGCGGTTTTCGTCCTCCAACTGGAAACAACGGAGAACAGACAAGGCATAATCAGGCCCGTAGCCAGCAATTTCAAAAGTGGGGCTCTTTTTCTGAAAAAACTTCATGAACCTAGATCAAATTTTACCCAGAGTTAACTTTTCACACCAAAACTTTTGGAGGATGGATCAACAAAGATAATTTGGAAGACTGTCAGAAAATATCTCTGGATCCGCCCCTGAAAAGGGGCGGTTCTTTCGACCCCCCCCCCCCCCCCCCCCTGGCTACGGGCCTGATAATACATCGGATGCTACTTGAACTGGTTTAGATGCTGCATAAGATGAATGCACCACTGTCATTTTCACAACTTTGCACACACACAAGCACGCACGCACCCTACACAAGTACGCATACATGCGTGCACGCACAGTTTGTACCTTTGTCGGTCCAGCGGGATTTTAAGGAGAAAATTAAAGTTCGACACCAGATAAAGTTGCACATACTCACACGCACGCATGCACACGCAAACTGTGGATTTAGCCGTTTATCATTAATTTACTTGACAAGATCCTTTTACTGCTGTGCTTGCCCAGAAAAAATATTAAACAGAAATTTTGAGGACAATCTTGAAACAAATTCCCTTTCAGATATGCATGTGCAACTCTCACCTTCTCTAAATCTTCCTCTAGAGCAGTAATCTTCGCTTTTGACGCAAGTAACATTTTGTCAATTTCCTGTTGCTGTCCTACTGTCACGTGGTCAAGACTGACTTTCTGAAGTTCTTGTTTCAGTTGTTCTACAGTTTTCAGCAAACCTTTGATGTACGTTTCCCGTCCTTCATTGTACGACTGCCACTTCTTGTTGGCTGATGTTACCTGAATTATTTGGCCAAAACTTTCAATTTTGAGCATTTAGTCTTCAAAAAGCAACATATGCAGCACTTTAGCAGGTTGTGATGCCAACTTTTACAAGCACAACAATAACAGCAATGTAAATTATACAGCCGCATATTACAAGGATTTTTTGCAAATAATTATTCATCTATTTTTTGTGGAATGTGGAAGATATTTCACTCAGCATAATAATAATAATAATAATAATAATAATTATTATTATTATTATTATTATTATTATTATTATTATTATTATTATAACTAATGAATAAACGAAAAGAAAGGAAAGAGACCGACTCTAAATGATGCGATTAGAGCTGCATGCAGCAAATTTAAGATTTTGTTATAAGACATTTGCCCTGTCACTTGGGCATGAACAAATGGCACATTCATCAACAGCCTATATCAGTCAGAAGTAAAATGAAGCGTTCACTGAAAGATAGAATCATCCTTTCTGCATCAATATATTATTTCGCTGCCACGAGTCATCACTTACCTCTTCAAGTTGGCCTCTTAGTTGAGTTATCACCTGGCGAAGGCGCGCAGCCTCTCTGTTCTGTTCCTGTCAATAAACCCAAACCACCAATTTGATGACTGTTTTAAACTAGTCTTCATCAAAATTGCTTTAAATTAGCTTTTTATTTAAATCATCTGTGGTCTAAGTTTGTGATTATGTAAAAGCATGAAATATTTATTCATCTTGGCTCCCAGATGAAAAATATTTTCCGTTGGAATAGAAAAATTAGGTCAGAGTTATTTTTTGAGAGATGAAGTTGTAGAGAATGGTTCATTACTATAATTGCTAGTCGACAACAAACAAATACATTTTCTTAAAAAATTCTACAGGTTTCCACTGAACACCTATCCAAAGATGCTGACAAAATAACGAACTATATGTCCGTTTTTGAATTCTACATTTCAATTATTACCGCAAGAAATAAAAGTCACCAATTTCCGTCCTCATTACTTTAACATTGACTTAAAACGAATATATAGATCGTAATTTGGTTAATGGCGATGTATACAGCGTGCCTTAATAATTAAGGAATAGGGGCTTAATTGGACTGATGTGTTCAGAGTGATGAATAATACATTTTTTTGGGTTTTTTTTTTCACGTCAAGTTAACCACAAGTAGTCAAAATGAGCTAACTATGCAAACAAGGAAAGGGTGGATTGATAATTTATCAATTGATTTTATTTATCAATCTTACAGCTTGAAGGAAGAAAAGAGAGTAATTAATGTGTGGAATTCGGTTGTCAGATAACAAAGAGGAACTTACGCCTTTTTCACAGAAACCACGTCCGCCGGATTCCTTAGCCTCTAGCCGAGTCACCAAATTCTGACAAAACTGGGCTGTCTCTATCAACTTTTGTTTTACGTCCGCATACTCAGCGCTCAAAGATTGGCATTTTTCTTCCGAAGCACAGCGGGCCTTGTTGAGGTCGTTTAATTGAGCTTTCAAGGTCGCATTTTCCTTTCGCAATTCTTGAAAACTGTTGGTATTTTCCTTTATGAAAGATATTCATCATGACCAATAAAACTATTTTCTTCAATAAAATAATAGGAAAAAAAACATAAGGAGACGTAAAAAAATAATATAGTAGACTTTGTATAAGTTTTCACAGTATAACTCGAATTACCGATTTCCTAAAATAAATCTTGTGGACCAGATTTTTTTCTTTGTTACTAAATAAAACTTTCTAATTTTCCCAATTACGCAGAGTCTATTGTATAATCAATAATTAAAGATATTTAAAAGAAACATGCAAATGGAAATTTTAAAAGATAGGGAGTTCCTAATGTTAATAAAGTTTAACATGTCACCACTATTTCATCAAAGAATGCGCAACTGGGACAAAAATAATCATTTCAATCTAAATAAAGTAAATTCGATTTATTCGTCAACGTTTTACCACAAGTATTCAAAATTCGTTTTATTCGGCTGAGTTTAGTGATAGGGATGTACTTCAAAGCGATGCGTAGGTCCATGGATTGCGTCACACAGCTAGTTAAGATGTTTTCCGGGTGTATTGATATCAAATATCCTGAGTGGCAGTAATTAATTGTAAAATAACAAATGCAATCTAACAAGTGTTGATAAGCGGTGAATAACCACGATAACGAATATTACTTTGTCTTGCGACCCGGAATAACCTACAACCATCAAAGAGAAAAACTTTCCGACAGCTGTATTTAAATGAGCCGTTTATATTAATACAGCTGCTGGATATTTATGTTGAATGGGGACATCTATTCACCCTCACCATTACAATCTCAATTCCGATCCACGACAGATATAGATATAGCAAAATCTGACAAGTTTATCATATACAACCAAAAGATAAATATTACTAATATTAATTAATCATCACTAGTATAAAATGGATATTTACAATGATACATACCGAACTCGGCAAAGACCAACTCTCAGTGGACAAGCTCCCAAGATTTAATGTCGAGTCTTTAAATCGATCTACTTTCCGAGGAAGGCGCCGTGGGGGAGTAGGTTTGCCCCCCACGGTCGTCTCTGGATTCGCCGGGGGTTCTTCTTCGTCTTCTTGGTCTAATGTGGAGGACTCTGCGTGTCCTGCTGCCGCCATTACTTGAGAGCTGTCAAAATTTGAGACGGCAGGCAAATAAATAAATAAATAAATAAATAAATAAATAATTAAATAAATGATTTATTAATAAAAAGCTATCAAAAGTACAGTCATTTATTATACAATAAACGGTTTGATTGACAGAACAATTATATCATCACTATTATAAGTTTAATTGTAGCAAATCATTTGTCACATACTTTATCAACAATAAAGATCAAGGTTCAATATCACCGTCAAGAAAATATTTTGCTAATTCATCCGTGATATTAAACGGCCTAAAATATCCATTTTTGTTGAAGGTGGCCGGATTGTATTGATATAACACGTGTTCTGAATTATTACATTTAAGTGCAACTTGGTAGGTAAAAACAAACTGTAGACTATGCTGAAAATAAAGCTGACAACCTGACATACATTGCCCACCCTTCGTATTTTGACATTTTACAGACCGTTTCGCATAAGATCGTAATATAGCGTTTTGAATGTGGGAATCCCCATGGGGTTTCCTGACCTAGATGACCAGAACGAGGCTGATTGAGCTGGAAGTGGTGTACTGCACAAATGGAAGGACCAATAGATGTAGCCTATATGACGTATATGGCACATGTTTTTTAATCTCATAGTGTACCATAGTGTGCCAGTTGGTTAATATACAAGATGGTTAATATATATATAGGGCCTAAGACCTACACTATGCGGTTACCAAGAAAAAACTTCTAAACGAGAGAGAGAGAGAGAGAGAGAAGCTTATCTGAAATAAAATATTATTTGTCATGTAAGGCCTACTAGTATGTGTGGAAGCTGGGCTACATAATTTTGACAAGTTCATGTAGCTATGGACAAGCCTATTACACGGTTTATGTCCTAACACTTTAATTTGAAGCCTTCAGGATATCAAATTGTAAATAAATACAATTCAGTTACCTTCCAAAATCAATCTCAAGTAAAAATACACAACGGGTAACGCGAGTTATAATTGAAACAATAGATGTAGCCTACTGTAGCCATATTGCCATTGCAATTTTCTAATAAAATAATATAAACAGTATCCGTTCTTTGACAAAACCTAGCTTTCTACCCTTTTAGACCAAACAGCTATGCAGCCTACTATCACGAAGCCTTAAATCTTTGAATACCACGAGTAATCTAATCTCACATTGAAAATTTCTACAAACCTAATGTACATTCTCCATCTTGTATAGTAGTACTTCCGGATTCGTTCGTGGACGGGGAATCCCCTTTTTATTGATTTTTATATGAAGGCGAAAGCCTCGCTTTTGGAGAAACGACTGGATAGGCCAAAAATGGCGGAATATGGCCCCTCATACCAGGAATATATACTCCATAAATAACACTTTTCTTGGCGATCTTCAAGCGAATAACTGACACCTATGCCTTATTAAGGCTGTGTAACTGAAAGTTAGTTTAAAAGTCGACAAGGAAATTTAATACATGAAGAGTAGATATATATTGGACTTTGTACATATCAATAAAGTTTTCATCTATGTTCTAAAATTCATGGCAAAATTATAACTTTCTGGCTCGTATTTCTCCGCTTGAATACATTTTCAAAAACTTTGTTAAAATGGCAATTTATGAACATTTTTGTAGCATGCTTTTCCACAACTCACTGTAGTGATACCGTAGTAGTAATTTGAAGTGCTTCTTGATAACAGCTAGTAGCAATTAATTTGCTTAACTAAGCATTTTGATTTGTTTTTTGCATAATAGTTTTAACTAAATGTCTTTATCTGTTCTGTCCTTATCTGTTTTAACTAAAGAGCCGTTCAATCTGAGTGGTAGATAAGCCAAAAAGAAAAATTACACGCTGAAAATCTGGAAATAATTACACAAAGATAAAACGCTGAGATTCCGAAGTAGTTGAGCTGTAATTTGAATAAAAATAAACAAGACTGGTACACAGCATGTGTAGTACACATACTGTACTGTATCTCAAAGGTCACTATGGATCCATGGACAAAAGCACCTACGATATTTCAGAGGAAGAAATCGAACATTCGGTCTTAATTTTAAAGGAAATGTAAGGCTAATGATCTGGACCAGTTCCATTTTATCTGAATCAGAAGTGATGAAGGGAATGACCGAGTGTGCAGCTGGCTGTAATAAAAAAGAATTGCACTCTCATTATTCATGTTTATTTTTCTTAGACTCTTTTGTTAGAGTATAACCGCCAGAGGATCATTGCCACCCCTTTAAAAAAGAAAATAAGTAAATGAATAAAAGCAAACAAACAAAAACAGGCCATGTGCCAGCATCAAAATACCTTTGAAAATAAACCTTGATTTCTGGTGCTAATTGTGTGGAATTCTTCACTGGTGAAACCTTATGACTTTTCTCAAGCCCAAGATCAAAATAATATACAAATACACAATTTCATTAGAAGATCAGACAACGTCAGGGAGAAGCAAATATTAAAATTAAGGTCCTGATTTCAGCAATTCGCTCGAAAATTCCCATCAATTGCAAAAAAATAAAAAATAAATAATAATAATAATAAAATAAATAATTAAATAAATGAATAAATAAATAAATAAATTAAAAAACGCGCGTGAATGACGTTCAGAAATGAGCAACGTCCTTAATAATTAAACATCTACACTTTCAAACCTTCTTCGTTCTTATTAGTCTAAGCTGGCAACAAAAACATCCACTACTATCCTGATTTACTTTTAACACGTGTAAAAGAAGAAAGGGGGTTCCCCTAAAAAAAATCTCTTCTTTTCACGCGAGATCCAAGTCGTCGCTATTAACACCGTATATTGAGCAATAACCAGAAAACATAACATTAGTACTTCTGATACAGATACGAAATATCTATGAGTTAATTTATCTTTTTATTTTTGTTTCCTATTTAAGGGCGGTTTTACTAACATTTGGAAGGGGGATTTTTGCACTGAAACTTCCTAACAATAACAAACCGCATAGGCTCCTGATTGACCTGATTCTTGCGTATCAGCCAACATGCGTGCCTATAATCGCTTCTAATTTAGTCAATTAAGACAGCGCCTACATATATAGTTAGACAAACGGAGAAAATAAATTCACACGCCGCTACAATACGTACCTCTGGTTGTCAAATGTTCACACGGTATGACTTACTCGGCAAATTCTAATTCCGGAGATGATGATTAAAAATGTGTATTAATAATTACATGTAGCATTGCATCATGACACAGTCATGGGCCTTCGCAGGGGGGTCAATGGGGTAACTTGCCCCCCCCCCCCCCCTGGAATTTTGGCAGGCACGTTAATTGCGGGTACCCAGCCAATTATCTCCCCCTACAATGACTTTCACCCCCCCCCCTGGAAAATTTTCTGCGGACGCCCATGGACACAGTCACAAGACAAATAAATGGCCATTGTTGGATAATGCCAATCTTTGCAACTATGCATGTTGTATGTTTTGTCCCTTTCAAACGAAGTCATAGTTATAAATACATAAGTTTTGAGTCATCAACCAAAGGTAAAGTACAGTAATAGTTAAAACGTTATGTTTAATGGGTTATTTAAACATATCTTTCTCGATAGATATACATGTAGGTCAGAGCTGGGCGGCGTACTTAATATATCTGCCGATAATAAAGAAAAACGATTCACCTTATATGTTCTCATAATAATAATAATAATACATTTGCCCCCTTTTCTCTATATCCCCTGTTTATTTTGTTTTCTATGTGTTTTTGTCGAATACCCCTTTCTTTAGTGTCGGTGGTGTAAGATAACAGGACAGAAAAGGAGGTCAGGAGAGGTCAAACGCCTACTATAGGCTAATACAGGTATATGTATTAACTCCACTGCATCTAGACATTTCACACACGTAATGAAGTGACGCCATTTAACAACATTCCGGATCCCTTTCAAAGGGAAACGAACTAGGGTTTTAAAATATCGTTTTCGTTCTCGCCCTTCCAAAAATGTCGTTTTCGTTATCATTCTACCACTTTAAACTCAGACTAAATATTTTCATGTTTAATACAGAGCAAAGATAAGATTAGGGTGAGGAAGAGGATGGGATTCGTGGGGAAACATAGAAAGAAGAAAAAACCGTAGGCCACGAAAGAACACAAAAAGTTAACCAAATACATGCACATGTACATGCACTACCCCACCGAACACTTTCTAAACAGCTGCCTTTTTACCGCCAAGTGATATCTAAGGTGCGTAAGTAGGGCGATCAGGACTCTGAAGTTATACTTGATTTCAGTGAAGGGTGGAGGTTGACAAAAGTGCTGCACTCACTTTCTTTCTCAGTTGCGGCTTGGTTTTTATGGGAACTCGACTCGCACTACAGACTGGATTGTATGCTGATATTCAAGATGTCTGACGTTGTATTATTTCAAGCGATGATTGTGGGAATTCCCCTTTTTCCGATTCAACAAAAGGCGGGAATTCTCTATTTTAGCTGTCTTGCTTCTCAGCTAATCAATTTCAGTTATTCTTCTGTAGGGTTGTCATTGCATTTATTTCTTTGTAATTTACCCATGTATACCTGTATAATTTATACACATAATGTTTTGGTTATTTCCATTAAACGTAATTGTCAAAAACAATGCATCTCTATTCAGAGCTAGCATGTACACAATAAATTGTCCCGGAGATTTGAAGACAGAATTTACCGAAGCATGGATATAATACTAAATAAAGTACAAAAAAAAAAAAAAAAAAAAAAAAAACACTTGTACCTGCTCTTGAAACTGATACATCATCATCATGTTATCTTCATATCATCATCATATGATACATCACTGATACATAAACTATTATTATGGAAGATAAAGCTATAACTATAGGGGTTAGCTGGTCGAAGCCGACTTTATGGGCAGTTTCTTGTAATCAACAATGGCGAGTGGAAGGTCTATTAAATAGCTACTTAATAGCAATATCAGCAAAAACATCAGCAAAAATAATATGTGGGATTTGTGTAGGAAATATAATCAACAAAAATTGTCAATTTGCTTCCCTGCTTTCACTTTGTGAAATAAAGAAAAATAATCTATACTTATGTGCCACCGACTCAATTGGGAATTATCAAAGCATATTACCTTTAACAACAGGTTAATTTTAATCACGTCATTCTCATCAATGATTTTATGAGGATGATCCACAAAAACTAAACAATGGACAGTAAACCACGTGACCCCCATTATCTCTAATTTTATCCCCTTCTCCATCTCTAACAAGCTTAAAGTCCGGACCTATAGAACCTGCAACGGCAACGGTCTCAGTTTGCCAAATGTTACTAGAAAAATAAATCTACGACCTGGAGTCGGTGTACAGTAGGCCTATAGTCATGCTTTGCTGCGGCGTGAGTAAAAAGCGAAATGACACAAAACCAAACAATGTTTCCATCCGATATTACAGTAAATTCCTTTGTATTTCAAAGAATGTTTATGTATTACAAAAGTAAATTGTATTATCAGACATAATTTACTATCCAGCTCTTTTGCTTGTTTTTGTTACATTATCTTTTGTCTTATTTGTCAATCCACCATTGAATATTTCATTATTAGGCAATCTCTAAAAGCATTGTTTTCAGTTAGAAACATAGAATATTATTCAAATTACAGCATACTTAGATCATGTCAAAAACCCAGTTTGCTTGTGTTATACACGCGACAGAAACTTGGAATTTGATTGTGAAATAAAACCAATCAAATAAAAAAAATATGTGCAACTTTTACATTTATCTTCTCCTATCATGAAAACAATTTCTATATTCACTGAATCTTAATCTTGCACTTAACAACTTGCTTTTTTTTTTACTTATTTGATTCTACTTAACTTAGCACTTGTAATTAGTGAAGGCGTAATCCATTAAATTTACAATTATCGTGGTGCACTCGGTCTCAATCAGTACCCGATCTAGTGAAACATGACACGTTGAGAGGAGTCATCACTTAGTATCTGTTATCTATCAGGTCACGCAATTTGATGAAATTACTGCCAAAATAAAAAAGTACAGAATTTTTTTTAAATCGTCAACTTCCTTTGCCAATGTTTATTCCAAAACTTTGAAATCTGTTTACGCAAAGACAAATATGATCATACTGAAAATAAGTAGGGTTCTTCCTGGATCAATTACCAATCTATAAAAAATTACCCATGTTAATTTTAAAGCTTTGGTTTTTTTTTTTTTTACATATTGACAGTAAACATGATCCTAATGAAAATCAATAGGTTTCATCCTGGATTAATTATAAATCTGCATAACCAAAAATTAAGGCCTCCATCATGAAACAAAAATGTGACTACAAACAAACGAGCAGACCAAACATACTTATGAAAATATTTCCAAAGTAATAATATTACAAAATGATACATTTATTTGAAATCTAAAATTCCATTTAAATTGTTCAGTAGACTTTACATATAAAGAGACAAGCACTCATTAAAAATCAGAATTATCAAGTTATATGAAATCTAAAATGTTAAAAAGATTGTGATTCTTAAAAAAAACAGCCTAACTCTCACATTAAACCAAATACACGTAAGAATAACAATTATAAATTTTTTTAATATAATGTTTTTACTCTTTAAAGTTTTCTGTTAATTTAATTGAGCGGATTTTTTTTTCAGGTTTAAGTTTACTCTCAACCCGCAAACACAGGATGTCTCTATGAGACGTTTCCTAGTAGGTGTATTGTAATAAAAAGGATTAATAATTATAATAATAATAATAATTTATTGAGCATTAAAATGTGTACAGTTACATTTTACAAGCTCTCTAAACTACAGTTTTACATAAATTGTGCGCATACGCTTAAATAAGTATAACTATAATTAATAGTGACTAATAGCATTACACATCTGTATGTTTTAATCAATAGTCTTTTTTCACAAAACTGAGGTGACATTTAAATAACTTTTTGATCCATCATTTAGGCGTTAATAAATGTATTTATGGAAATTGAATTTGAAATAAAATACAAACTGTCTGTGCCTTTTTGTTACGATGTAGATCCCTTACATTTCGGCAGACAACTCCCCGTTTTTGTAAGTTTTGTGATATATTTTCTATAAAGTTATTCCATATCTCTCATCATAATCAAGGAAAAATTGGACATTTACTTGCGTACGTACTATTAAATTCTTCTGAGATTGAAATTCTTTTTTTGCATTTTATTTAGTCCTGATAACATGCTTATATTTATTCTTTCTTTTATTTCTAGGTTGTAGAGGAGTGAGCCAGAATTGAAAACAGTTTGTCTTTACAAATTTGTATCATTTCTTAGAATTAAAAAAAATACCATGCACTATCACCCAGCCGTATTTTACATTATAAAAATTTTTTAATGTACACACAATGGATAATAGAAGTGTCACCCCTTGAATCAGAGTAATCAAAGCAGGTAGATCTTGAGTAGTTATAATGCCTGGTCTACTTATAATGTGACTAATGAGTATAAAACCGCTGTACCATGGTATTGTATTGTTGGTCTTTTTGTGAAATTTGATGGTAATAAAATGATACCAGGAGCAAATCATTCCACAGTCATTTATCTCCCCTAAAGTACTGGTTCAGTAGGGGTGACACTTCTATTGTCCAGTGTGATTAATACTGAATATGCAATTTGTGGCTGGATACGGACGCTGTGCCCCCCCCTCAC